GGAGAGGGAGCAGGAGAAAAAAGGAAGACGGAGACAAGAACGAAAAGGAGGGAAGGAGAATGGGGAGAACAATTTAAATAGTGAGTTACTTAATGCACAAAGGCTGAACATACCATACAAAAAACTCAAATCAGACAACAATGACCCTAAATGGATAAATAATTATTTAAAGAACATCATTGGCCAAAGGAAGGCTATAGGTAGAAGGATAAATTGTGGCGAAATTCACCTCCGGGACTATTATAGGGTATTGGCGAGTAGGGTTAAAACCGAGATAAGGAAAGCAAAGAGGAATAATGAGGTAAGGATAGCAAGGGAGGCAAAGACAAACCCCAAAGGATTCTACCAAATGTATCAAACTAAAACACGAGAAAAGATTGGACCAATACGGTCAGACACCGGCGAGCTCACTGATAACGACAGAGAAATGAGCAATAATTTGAATAAATATTTTTCAACAGTTTTCACCACCGAAAATTTAAACATGATACCCGAGGCACCGACTCTATTCAGAGATAGTGAAGAAAACAAATTAAGCGAGATAGTAGTGACTAGTAACGATGTTAGTAAGCAAATAGACAAACTAAAGCCTAATAAGTCACCTGGTCCCGATGAGATATTTGCCAGAGTAATAAAGGAATGTAAGGAAGAGCTTAGTATGCCCTTAGCAAAGTTGTTTAACATGTCCTTAAAAACAGGTGTAGTACCAGAATCCTGGAGGATAGCGAATGTAATACCGATTTTCAAGAAGGGGGATAGATCACTATCCTCTAACTACCGCCCAATCAGTCTAACATCAATAGTAGGCAAATTACTGGAAGCACTCATTTCAAACTCTATTCGAAATCACCTGGAGAAGCACTGATTGATCAATAATACCCAGCATGGCTTCACAAGCGGACGTTCTTGTCTAACTAATTTATTAACATTCTTTTCATCAGTTTTCGAATCGGTGGACGAGGGGCACAATTATGATGTGGTATATCTCGACTTTAGCAAAGCCTTCGACAGAGTCCCCCACGAAAGACTAATTAGAAAGGTAGAAGCTCATGGCATCAAAGGTAACATCCTTAAATGGATTAGGGCGTGGTTACAGGACAGGAAACAGCGAGTGAACATTAACGGCACTAAGTCCCATTGGAGCAACGTCACAAATGGAGTTCCCCAAGGCTCAGTACTTGGACCATTATTATTTATTATATACATAAACGACATTGATATCGGCATAGACAGCAACATAAGTAAATTTGCTGATGACACTAAAATAGGACGTGTTATTAAATCCGACGAGGACTCAGCAAAACTACAGGAAGATCTAAACCAATTTTTCGACTGGTCTGAAAAATGGCAGATGAAATTCAACGTGGACAAATGCAAAGTATTCAGTATAGGAGATGTAAACAGCGAAACCAGATACCAGATGAACAACGATGCCATAGAGAAATCCGACTGCGAGAGAGATTTAGGAGTAATGATAAGTAGGAACTGTTCGTGTTCTGGGTTATAAGTTCAATATACAGGAGCGAACACAAACACCTGTATAGATTTTGTAGGTTCGATTTACTGGATAAGAGATATGTACACAAGGGGAGTAGCGCTCTTCAACCTGTCTGCTGGTCAACTGCTCTATAGACGACGTATGGCAAGTGATGCATTAGCAGCTTCCATACGTCGCCAGGCACATTAATTAAGCATGTGGGACATTGATAAATACATTGCCACACGCTACTAGCTAGGCTAAATAAATAATACATAAATGGAGCACATACATAATATACATAGCATAATATAAATACAGCATACAGAATATACATACAATTACCATCTTCATCACTACCATCATCAGCATAATTATAACCATCATCATCACTACCATCATCACCACTACCATCATCACCACTACCATCATCATCACTACTACTATCATCACTACCATCATCACCACTACCATCATCATCACTACTATTATCATCACTACCATCATCATCACTACCATCATCACCACTACTATCATCACCACTACCATCATCACCACTACCATCATCATCACTACCATCATCACCACTACCATCATCATCACTACCATCATCATCATCATCACTACTATCATCATCTTTATCAGAGCCATCATCAATACCATCATCATCACTACCATCATCAACCTCATCACTACCATCATCATGATAATCATTATCATCACTACCATCATCATGATAATCATTACCATCATCAGCATAATCATTACCACCATCATCACTACCATCAAAAACCTCATCAGTACCATCACCATGATAATCATTACCATCATCATCACTACCATCATCAACCTCATCACTACCATCATCATGATAATCATTATCATCACTACCATCATTATCATCACTACCATCATCATGATAATCATTACCATCATCAGCATAATCATTACCACCATCATCACTACCATCATCATCATCATCACTACTATCATCAGCTTTATCAGAGCCATCATCAATACCATCATCATCACTACCATCATCAACCTCATCACTACCATCATCATGATAATCATTATCATCACTACCATCATTATCATCACTACCATCATCATGATAATCATTACCATCATCAGCATAATCATTACCACCATCATCACTACCATCAAAAACCTCATCAGTACCATCACCATGGTAATCATTACCAGCATCATCACTACCATCATCAACCTCATCACTATCATCATCAAATTCCAATGCCTCTTACTACAAAAAAAAACTAAAAAAAAAAATAACTGTGGTCCCAAAACGTTGGAACTAGAAAAATCATTTACATTATGAATTCCCGTGTGAAACGTATCGTAGAAACCCGTCAAGCTGCCGCTGTGGTCGAGCGTCAAGGAGCTCGACGATGGAACAAACACCACCCTGGTCCAAAAATGGTAGGGAAAAATAATCTCAATACATCGACCGTAAATTCCCGCGTGAGACGTATCGTAGAAACCCGCCAAACAGCCGCTCTAGTCGAACGTCAAGAAGCTCGCGAGTGGGTTAAAAGTCTCCTGAGTCGACGCCTACCATCACACGTAAATGAGCTTAGCAGTGATGTGGTGAAAGATCTCCACGTCATGAGGGAAATAGGACAGGGAAAGAATGGCATTGTATCGCTCATCCGGCATGAGGGTGAGCTCAGGGCTATGAAGGTACTCAAGGATGCGGATTTCGAAATATTGTTAGAGGAGATCCAGATGCTCAGAAAAGTGAACGGAGCTGGTGGTGCCCCTGTTTTGCATGGCGTTTGTATCGATCCCTTTATCATTATCCAGTCATATGTAGGGATGCCATACGAAAAATACTTGTCACGTTGCCCACCTAATAAGGTTCTCTTCTCCCTGGTAAAACTTGGTGAAAGATTATCAGAAATTCACCAGAACAATTTGTCACACAACGATTTGAAAATAAACAACGTTACCGTCACCTTGCTGCCAGGTGGTGAGGCCGACATACATATTATCGACTTTGGTGAATGCAGCGGATTCGGTATCCCTTTAGACGAGCAATACTCTGCAAAAGAGGATATGCGCATCTACTGGGTTGCCCCAGAAGTGAAGAGGGGTGGTGTCATCACACGCGCCTCAGACGTTTTTTCATTCGGACACATAATTCATAAAATCTATTCAGAGTTCACGAGCTTTAACGATTCCGTTAAAACTCGGCTTCTCGATTTGTATCTGAGCGCCACCAAAGTCGACCCCGAAGTCAGGTTATCACTGGATGACCTAATCGGTCATTTGACCGAACTGGCTCACCAAAACCAGTGAATAAAATTGTGAACGCGATACATATGTCATTGTAATATTTCTAATAAAGTTTCTTTGTTTATCCATACAAGTTTAATTTATATCATAACATTTTACATACTGTAATATAAACTGTGTAGTCAATATTATGCATAAACACTTTAGTTTGCCATATTTCGTAAAGAGCATGACCAATTTCAATGATTTTGTTTATATTTTACAGGTAAAATATACAATTAACCTAACCTAACCTAACTCACGATCCCCTCATGTTTACTCATTACTTGAGTGTTTTTAAATAAATGTGACTCAGCCTTTAGTATAGCCTGTGGTGTACACTGTGTGGTGTACATTGTGTACACTGTGTGGTGTACATTGAGTAAATTGCGTGGTATACATTTTAATTTTTAATTTAATTTTGCCACTTACAGCGGCTAGTTTATTGTGCACTCCATACTCATCCTGTGAGCGGTAGCGCAGCACTACCATTATCACTACCATCATCAGCATAATCATTGCCATCATCATCACCACCATCATTAGCATCATCATTACCAACATCATCACTACCATCATCAGCATAATTATTACCATCTTCATCACTAAAATCATCAGCATATTTATTACTGTTCGTGTTCTGGGTAATAAGTTCAATATACAGGAGCGAACACAAACACCTGTATAATGTATGTAGGTTCTATTTACTGGATAAGAGATATGTACACAAGAGGAGTAGCGCTCTTCAACCTGTCCGCTGGTCAACTGCTCTATAGACGACGTATGGCAAGTGATACATTAGCAGCTTCCATACGTCGCCAGGCACATTAATTAAGCATGTGGGACATTGATAAATACATTGCCACACGCTACTAGCTAGGCTAAATAAATAATACATAAATGGAGCACATACATAATATACATAGCATAATATAAATACAGCATACAGAATATACATACACCTCCCTCCCCCCTATACGCTCATAGCAAAGTCTTGAGCGGACCTTTTCTTTTGGATCCGTTCTGAGCGTCGAGGGACTAGATCACTGGGAAGGGTATGGGACTCAACACTGGTGGCGGGGTCAGCAGAAGGCATTGTTACGGGGCGGAGAAAACGGCGGTTCCTCCACCACACACGACCACTGGGTAACCGCACCTGGTAGTCCCGTGACCTACCGAGACCCATGACTACGCCTACTTTGTCCCAACGTAGGGAGGTCGGGTCCTGAACACGGACTTGGGTGCCGACACTTAACCTGGGGAGAGAACGGGCGTGGTCGTTGTAGCGGGCGACGACGTCCTGAACACGTTCGGCGGCTCGGCGATCACAATCCTCTGTCTTGGCCTGCCACTCCTTGGAGAAGGATTGAGGGTGAGCAGGGACACAAGAACGAAGGGGGCGTCCATACAAAACCTGGGCAGGGGAGCGTCCGGTGTAGTTAGGTGTGTTGCGGAGTTCAAGAAGACCCCGGTCGAAGGCCTCGCAGTCAATATTCCCAGAAGGGGCCACCTTAAGGATGAGGTGCTTCAAGGATTTGACAGCAACCTCAGCGTGGCCGTTGGACTGCTGGTAATGGGGCGATGACAACACATGCCGGACTCCCCATCGGTCGAGGAACACAGCAAAGTCCCGGCTTGTGAACTGAGGCCCTCCGTCGGTTCGCAGGCGCACAGGAACGCCCACGTCACGGAAGTAGTGGCGGAACTTGCTGATGGTGGCGGCAAACGTCGTGTCATTACCGCACTTGATGACAACCGGCCAACCAGAGAGACGGTCGATGATAACAAGGAAGGACTTTCCTGACACAGAGAAAAAGTCGGCTGATACAGACTCAAAGGGGCGGGTGGGGTTGTCGTCACTCATGAAGGGTTCCTGCTGCTGGCTGGGTTGTAATACTTGGCAGGGCTCACACGCACGGACAACATTGGAGATGTCGGAGTTGATGCCGGGCCAGAACACAGTCTGTCGTGCACGTCGTTTGGTGGCTTCAGCTCCGTGGTGACTGTCGTGAAGGCGAGCCAAGACGTGGGGACGTGATGCAGCAGGGACAACTACCGAAGGAGAGGTGTCACTGGCCAGAGGTAGGTGTAGGGCGGCAGCAGGGTAGTTGCTGCTCCCTTCGTGCACCCTGTTGGCGTATTTTACCTCGAGAAACGGTGTTGGGAAGTCCTGGGAGATGATCGCCAACTCTTGGCAATGTCTGTAGGACAGCAAAGGAGTCGGGACACCATTATGCACATCAATCCAGGCTTGACACGACCTGTTGCCAAAGGTGACATGTGCATAGAGTGAACCTAGGGCTGGGGCCATCTGTGAACCATCTGCCGTGATGCAGAGGTCCTTGGGAGGCGGTCCTAGATCGCTTGGAGAGAGCCCCAAGCAATGCAAATGCTGGGGACCGATGACCGTAGCCTCAGCGCCGGTGTCGGGCAGCATCTCGAGACGGGATGACACATTGCCGTAGGTCACGATGACGCTGACGTGCTGGGGGACTTTGGTCCTGGGACGCGAGGAGTACACCCTCCTAATATGGGTCGGGCTTTGTCCAGGGTCGTCGTGCCTCTGATTGGAAGACTGTGGGCGGCCCTCACTGGTGGAAGGGCGCTGAAGCTTCCGCCTACGCTGTCCCTTGGGTTTGTTGGTAGGGCAACACTTGTCATAGTGGCCCAGGCGACCACACACATTGCACTGGACGCGTTTAGCTGGGCACCGTACTGTGAGTGACCAGTGGCCCTTACGGTCACAACTGTTGCATGTAGACTCAGCAGCTGGACACACCTGTGTTCCATGGTGCTTACCACAGTTGTTACAAAATGAACCGGGCGTGGACGTGGTGGGCGAAGGCGTAGGAGCAGACTTCTTGTCCTTCTTGTACCGGGACACAGCGCGTACAACTGTAGGGGGAGCTCGGATGGCAGAGGTGGCACACTTGGCAGCCTCATAGGAGCGACATATCGTCAAAACATCCTTAAGAGAAGAGGAAGAGTCGAGGGAGGTGAGGCGTTGGACAAGCTCCTCGTCCTTAACACCCATCAGGATCACCTGCTTCAACTGGGTCTCCTCGCACTGCTGGTGGTGGCCTAGACATATATCTACCTCTTCCGAGGCTCTCTTAAGACGTACATAAAAGGCGTCAAAAGTCTCACCCTCCATCTGTCTGCAGCTAAACAATTCCCTCCTGCGCAGAGCTTCATTCTGCTGTCCTTTGATGTGCCGTTGTAGAATGTCCAGTACCTCCTCTACAGACAGCGAAGAGGTCGGAGGTACCTGCAGCGTATGTTCTAAGACACGCTGAATTTCCAAGGACAGGCACATACGCAGCTGGATGAGTTGTTTAGGCTGTGACAAACTCTGGAGATCCACCATTGTAGCATAATCAGTCCACCGTCGCCGCCATTCACGAAAAGTCTGGAAATTCACATCAGGCTTCAAGATGGGCGGTGTTTGAGCAGCTGCTTTAGGTGGGGCTGGTGGGCGTGAAGAGAGCATTGATGAGGTATCTGAACCATTCAGTACCGAGGCAGTGTTAGAGCCAGGGGCTTGGTTAACAGTGAGGCGAGATATCAAAGCTTCAAACCGTGCACTGTCTTCCACTCTCCGTTGGTGGTCTCGTTCTGCCTCTGCTTGCCTTCTGTGTTCATCTTCCACACGTCTGTTAGCTTCATCCTCGCGCCTTTCATCTCTCATAAACTTCATTAAAGCAATTATCTCTGGAGACAACGCTGAATATCGAGGTGAAGGGCTGCGCGATGTTGTGGGAGCTGGAGCGTCATGGTCAGCCTGGTCATCCATCTCTGCGGGGCTATCATCCGACTGACTCATCCGGGCGCTGGCTCCACGGTTACGTAAGGCACGAGACATAACTACTTCATCTGTGTACTGTGTCTTAAATCAGTGTTGACCGGTCAGCCCGTCGTATCAACAAGATCTCAGACAAAAAATTAATTAAATACACAGATAAGTAGGTAATATATATAAAATATATATAAGGGAGCCGCCGTGGTCAGTGAGTGTTAGTACATGTATGTGTGTGTGCGCGCGTCTGGGTGGGAGCAGTCTTCTCGAGCTGTGAGGGGGGGTGGAGACGGGGAGGAGCGTCAGTTACCCCTCAGGCAAGACAAGAGGAGGATGTGAAAACTTTACTCCTTACAAATGCCCAGAACATGCCGTGTACCTTGGGAATCCTTTAGAACAAGGTCACACATGTATGGCACGAAACACACAATGCACTAAACACTTCACAGAAAATCACTGTCACTGACACTGCTCAAAGTTGCTAAATTCTTCGAGGAGGGGTGGCGGGCGGCGGTTGGTACAGGGCAAGGGGTCCATAAGCCGGTTTTCCACAAACTTTGCACTGTCACTCGTAATTATCCAGTAAAACCGGTTCACTGCGCCATGTTCGTGTTCTGGGTAATAAGTTCAATATACAGGAGCGAACACAAACACCTGTATAATGTATGTAGGTTCTATTTACTGGATAAGAGATATGTACACAAGAGGAGTAGCGCTCTTCAACCTGTCCGCTGGTCAACTGCTCTATAGACGACGTATGGCAAGTGATACATTAGCAGCTGCCATACGTCGCCAGGCACATTAATTAAGCATGTGGGACATTGATAAATACATTGCCACACGCTACTAGCTAGGCTAAATAAATAATACATAAATGGAGCACATACATAATATACATAGCATAATATAAATACAGCATACAGAATATACATACAGGAACCTTAAGCCAAGTAAACAATGTGTTTTTGCTCGTAACAAGGCTAATAAAGTACTTGGGTTCATACAAAGGAGTGTTAGTTACAAGACTAGTGAGGTCATCCTAAAACTGTATCTTGCTCTTGTGAGACCATACCTGGATTACGCAATTCAATTCTGGTCACTACCTATTACAGAATGGATATAGAATCCTTGGAAAGAATTCAGAGGAGAATGACAAGACTAATCCCGGGCATTAGGAACCTTGAGTGTAGAGACAGGTTAAAGCATCTTAATTTGCACTCCCTCGAGA